TCCGGATGCCCTCTAGTTTAAAAACTCTTGTACTGGGAAGCCTAAAACTGGACACTCTTCCACAAGTGGCCTCAGGTGCTGTGAAGAGAGAAACAATTGCTTCCAGTGACCTCATGGCTATGCTTTGCGTGCAGCAGAGCACGCCTCCCTGTAGCAAGGCCCTGCTGCTGGCTCATGGTAGAGTGGTATCTACCACAACTCCCAGGTCACCTCCCTGAGAAGCTAGTCCTTGTCCGTTTGTTCCCCAGCTTGGGCCAGTGCATGAAGCTATTGTGTCCTGAATGTGTTTGGCTGTTGAACCTGATGGAGTACCTGTTGGCCCCTCTCCCGCTTTGCTCTGAGATCCTTCTTCCAGCAGCTCTGCTCTCCTACATATTGATGACTCCATCCAGTTTGGTGTCACTTGCAGACTGGATGGTCAGGGTGCGTTCTTCCTTATTGTACACACAATTCTCCATGTGGAGAAGGAATTGGTATGTTAAGACTGCAGAAAACTATGTTAGTCTAAGCTAGGTGTAATATAGTTGTTTCCTTTGTGACTGAGGTTCATGGAATTCCAAACTATTATGCTCCAAAACTAGGTTGTCTTTGCAAAAGTGGTGACTACCTGTAAATAAACTCTAATCTGAATAGAGGGTGAAAACATTAAATACAGGGATTATTCACATGCAGATGTGATGTTCTTGTATTTGTAATAGCAGCATCGAGAGAGATACCTAAATCTTGATGTATTTTGTCTTATTCAGCTTTTTACAAGCTCCGTGCAGATGAATCCCACGGATCACATAACGAACACCAAAGTAAGTCTGAAATCCATTGCTCAATGTACACAGTAGTGAGAGATGGAAACTTTATTCATCCTTTACTGTTTTCTTTACTTGGTGTAATAGCACTTTTTTAATGCTCTGGCTTTAAAGTCTTCCTATAAGACTAGGAAGGCTGCAGCTGAATTCACCCTGTTTGTTAGGTTTTAAACAGAAAAGGGAAAAGCATGCTAATTAATAATGTCCTTTAAAATTTGTATTACCTTGCGGCCAATACGTGTACATTGCACCAGTCTTCTGTATTGTCTAAGATTTTAGTACTTGCAGACATGGTACACGCTTTGTCAGAATGGTTTTATCTGTGTTGTCTGGTGGGAGAAGAAACACGAGAATAAGCAGCAGAGCAAAGACCTGGCTCTCAGAATTTGTCCTGTTCATTTATGAGCTTTAGTTTTGGTTCTTGCTCGAATAAGCCTGTGTTTCCATATCACCTTTTCTCAGCCAAGGTCTATTAGAGTGGGTAACTGGTATCACTGCATCCCTTCGCAAATGAAAATGTGATTTTTTTTTTTTTTAATAGTTGGTCTGCTGTGTTCCAGTGGCATTGGAAAAAGCTTTAAGCATGTGTGTTAAGATTTTGCTTTTGTTTCCAGATGGAGACAAAAGGAATAGAAACTACCAAGAATAATGCTGGTGCAGCAGCTTCACAGGAAACACAAGTTTCTAAGCCCAAATCAGGTTAGTTGTAGTGTTTTGTTTAAACAGTTTAACAACTGTTGTTCTAAAAACCATCATCTTGGTTATTTGCTGTTTGTCAGGTTTTATGTCGGGCAGATAAGCAAATAACCAGACCAAAATACACTATAGTTGCTTTTTAGGGTTTTGGCACTGCACCAGGTGCAGAGAAACTGATGTTTTTGCAGGAGAATCTGAGCAAATAGCATTATGCATGAACATAACAGTTCCTTAATCGCTCATTTGAAACAAACACCTATAATGTTTTTTATTAATCATTCTTTAAATAAATTCTGTGGGTTGGATTTTGTTTTTTCCTTCTGCATGTAGAAAGGCACGTGAACTGATAACAGAATTTTTTCCCCCTTAGATAAGCAGCTCATACAGTACACTGCGTTTCCACTCCTTGCGTTCCTCGATGGGAACCCAGGCTCCGCCGTTGAGAGCGGGAGCTCTGCTGCCGAAACTCCTTCCTCTGCTGACAAACCCCTGGAAGTGGATGAGCTCCTGGAGAGCAGCCTGGACCCTGAGCCCACCCAGAGCAAACTGGTGCGGCTGGAGCCCCTGACAGAGGCAGAAGCGAGCGAAGCCACACTGTTCTATCTATGTGAACTTGCCCCGGCACCCATGGACACGGACATGCCCTTCTTGGATAACTAATGTAATGGGGACTCTGTATATAGTCATGAAGATGAACTATTTATTTAGAATATTGTTTGGTATATGAGTTTTTTGTAAATCACTGTTTTATGTAACCAGATAACGTGGAATCCAAAATACCTTTCCTAGGCTACTTCCTACAAGCAATTGTTTAACTACACGGTTAGACAGGCTGTTAGACACGGTTGGCAGTGCCAAGTTGGACTGTTACTGTACTGCTGTCAAACACTTGGTATTACACATATCGCTCAATATCCCAGGTAACGGAACACTTGTTAATAGTAAGCATTGATTTATGATTTCTTATACTTCTGGTCTACATATGATGACGTTAACTAGTAGTGTATGGTTAGGGAGCACTGACTTTCTGTAGCTTGGGTTTTTTCTATTTTTTACAACATTTTGTTTAACAAACATGAGGCTTTTTTGGGGTGGGGGGGACCAGGACCTGATGTAGGCTTTTTTTTTCCCTGCTTGAACTGGGAACAAAGTGCCTGTACCTTGCTAAATCTTGGTTCTGCCTTACTTTCACTTCAGTGGAAGTGCTCACACATAGCACAAACTGGGGAAAAGTTCTTCTTTACAGCCGCCAGGCCCCTTGACTGCATGAGTACTTTTACTTGGACCATCTACTCTGATAAAATAAATGTTACTTAAGTGTGATGCTTGTTAAGTCTGATACTCTTACTCCATCTGCCTAGTGGATATGGATTAAACAGTCTCTTTTTCATGCCCAAGTAGCTGTGCAATGAGGTCTGCTGCTACACACATTTATTGGAAAGTAGTTTCGCTATCTCCAAAATTCAAGGCTTATTTATAAGCCTCCAAAACAAGTGGTTAATGCAGGAAACTTTTTCCTTTAGTGCTACACGAAAGAATGATTTCCTCTGTTTTCTTACTGCAAGCTGTGGCAGAGTCCTGTACCATTCCTTCCCCTGGAAAAGCCCTACCCCTACTCAAAAGGTGTGTTTCCATTGTTGGTTTACCAGTATTCCATGGTTATTCAAGTGAACTGACTGTAGTTGTATGACAAAGCTGAACACCAGAGGGGTTACTGCAACACAAAGTGATGGTGCAGTTGACACACTTGTAATTAAGTCATCTCACCCTGAGCTCCTGATAATATAAACAATAAGTTAACTTTTATCTTCAGTTACAGTTTTTCTTCCCTCTCTGCCCTCAACACTGTAGATGGGGAGGTTTGAGAGGCTCCAGCGTTCTAGTGAAAGGAGAAAGTGGGTTTTAGTAACTTCATACATGGAACAGGAAAAACAGCTCTACAGTGCCAGAGTGGCACTGCATTCAAAATTTTTTTTGAGGAGCAGCCACTTGTACAAGGAGCTGAATGCACGGACACAGCTGTCTGTTCATCTCTGTAATTCAGTGACAAGCTATTTGTTACAGAACACAGGAGCTGGTGTCCGGGTGTTTTACCCAAACTTAACAAGTTACCAGTGAGACACATGTTCATGTTTTCAGAGAGATGGCTGCAAAGGGCACAGAGAGAAGAACTGTCAGAAAACTCCACCAGGGTTATGTGTGACCTCCCAAAGAGCCAGGAACTGTCTGCCCCACAGGTGCACTGGGCAGCACTGTCACCTTCTACTTCTCAGAGGACAAGTGCTACAAAACATCCCAGCAAGAGAAGATGAGAAGAAAATATGAAACCCTATCCACGTTTGGCAGGAGTATGAGACATCAAAAGTCACTGCACATCTTCATCCAAATTTATTTATTAATAAGGTAACAACATATTCAAAATTATTACAAGCCTTTACTAATGCTTCCATTACCATCTCAAGTTTGACTGACATGTCAGACTTTTGCAGTAAATGTCAGTGTTTAGGTGCAGAATTAAAATAAAAGCTTGGAGAATAATTAGCAACAGGAAGTAACGGTATAAACACCATGGTAACAAATCAGCATGACATCTGCTGAGGGCTCTAGGGTCACTCCCAGTCAGGCTGCTCTAGTCTCAAGCTGCAGCAAGTAAGTACAGAGAGATATAAATAATGCAGCTTACATACTTCAGTTAGAAAGCAGCAAGCACAAAAGCATTTAAGATTTCTTAACTGCACAGGAACGATACAGTATTTTAATCAAACAAATTAATGTCTTACCTTGTGCCTAGATTTAGACTTTCTAGGCTCAAGTCCATCTCTGGCAATGGACAAGCAAATTACCTAATACATTAAAAGATTTCAAAATTTAGAGCCCCAAATATATTACAAAACACTTTTATTGAAGCCTCAGTTAATGCAAGCCTCCTTTAGTTACTGTAATTTCAGTGCTCCTTTTCCTCAATTTCTTTAAATCGCAATACTCAAGATGGGCTTACACAGTTTTCACCACTCGTCTCCTTGCAAACTCTGTGATTGTGGCTTAGCCAAGAAAAAGTGGTACACAATACAGCAATAAATTACAGCACAGCTATCCCATTTAAACTACTTTTAAAAATAATAATACATAGATGCACATTGTAAACAGGTGCCTTAAAAACATGCTTCTGAGCATCTGATACCAGGATGTCTTTCCCCCAGGGTGTCTGTCCTCCTGCCTGCAATGGGACACATCAGACCCAACAGCACCAAGGAGGACATCAGCTCCTCCAGCTTCAGGTGCAAGTTTCCCCATTTAACATCGGTGCTAAAGGTACTGCTGCTGCCCTCCCTACGGGAACAGCTCAGGCTGTTAGTGCCACAACGCTGCAACACACACAATTTTGAGTCTAACAATGCTTACTCAAGACTTACTTTGGAATCAAGGCAACAGGGATCATCAAAGGCAGCCCCTCTTTTGCTTGCAAAGCCTGATCTAATACTGGCTTGTTACCCTAATTAACACTTGCATTTTTTTCCTACAACTATTTAATGCAATTGAGGGGAAAAAAACCTACTTCCAAAGGTCTTGATCTTACAACTAATGCTCCTGAAGCACTCGGATCTAGGAATAATCCTATGAAAACCATCATTATAGCAATCATCACTGAGCTCAGCTAGAAAAAGTCATTTAGTGAATTGACAAAAGACGTGATTCAAGGTAACCATGCAGAATAAAGCAGGGCGTACTACATGGACAGCACACGCACACACACGCACCCACACACATGTATTTACAACTGCACTATTATCTGGAATACTGTTTGTTTCAAAGACACGGTGAAGCTAGCACAATATCCCTAGAGAGCAGCACAGCTTAGTCAAAGTCACGGTTTGTAAGAACCAGTGGAGCAACCAGAGTCCACACGTACAGCACAATGCCAATCCAGCTGGAAGATATCTTCACCCAGACAGACGGCCATTTGCTGGTCATTGTCTCATAAGAAGAATCCGGACTGTGAAAGAAGGAAGAAAAAAAAAAAAAAGATTAATTTGCAATTTTTGTTTCAGAATGACATGCTTGTGTAGTAAGCCACTCTTCAACACTGTTTTCACAGCAGATCATTTTCACTTCAGCTCCACACCTCAAAGGACATCTCTGCCCTTTTCCAGGCAGTTTACACCAATCTGTACAAGAACACCTTTTGTAAGGTGGTGTCACAGCAAGGTGGAAAGCAACAGCAGCCCAAAAGTGTATTTAGTAAGAGAAGCTGTCAAGAAGCAGAAATAACTATGAGGAACCTCTAAGCAAATCTGTGGAAAAGCAGGAATTGAACAGCATCTATAGATCCAAATAATACATTTTACCCTGCCACAAGACAACACCTAGAATTAATAATCTTGACATCATATTACACCCAAGCAGGGCCACAAATCAAATCCACAGCAGGACTACCTATCAAGAGTTATTTTTGAAGGGAACACCTTTCTAGTGTTGCTCTTTTGATACAAATTGTCCTTTAACAAATTATTAGAGACCATAATTTATATTTTTCAGTTCTGAAGAACATCTGCTCAAGCTGTTAACATAGTACCAACTCACACATAGCAGGACTGTTTTTATAGTGAGGGTTTTTTTCAGGGAGCAGAAAACCCAATTTCCTTCCACCAGACCCCATCACAGAATGGCTGAGGTTGGAAGGGACCTCTGAAGGTCATCTGCTCCATGCCCCCTGCTCAAGCAGGAGACCTAAAGCCAGCTAGCCAGGACTATGCCGGGATGGCTCTGGAACACCTCCAAGGATGGAGATTCCACAACCTCCCTGGGCAACCTGCGTCGCTGCTCAGTCACCTTTCCAATGAAGAGGTCTTTCCTGATGTTCAGAGGGAACCCTCCATGTTTCTGTTTGTGCCCACTACCTCTAGTGGTGTCACTGGGCACCACTGAAAAGACCCTGGCTCCATCCTCTTTGCAATACCTCTCCCTTCAGGTATTTATTGATGAGACCCCCCTGAGCCTCCTCTTCTCCAGGCTGACCAGCCCCAACTCTGTCAGCCTTTCCTCGTATAACAGATGCTCCAGTCCCTTCACTGAACTCTCACCAGTATGTCCAAGCCGCTCTTGCACTGGGTAGCCCAGGACTGGACCCAGCACTCCAGGTGCAGTGTCACCAGTGCTGAGTAGATGGGAAGGATCACCTCTCCCTCAATCTGCTGATATAACATATCTTGTCTCTCTTTTTTCCAGCTCTGTCTGTACCAGATATGGGCCAGGTTGTTTACTTATTTTTAGCTGTTACAGAATTTTAGACTCTATCCTGTTCACT